TCACAATCCAGGACTGCTGGCTCCCAACTGCCTGCCTGCCTGCCTTCCTGATTGTCCCTAACCACTTATTCCTGCCATCCTGATCACCCCCTAGCCACTTTCCCTGCCAGCCAATAGAGGCCTAACTGCTCCCTTGCTGGCCCAATTGCCCCTAACTGCCCTCTGTGCCAGCCTGGTCACTCCCAACTGAAGGCCTGGTCACCCCCAACTGCTCTTCCCTGCAGGTCTGGTCGCCCTGAAGGCCTGGTCACCCCCAACTGCTCTTCCCTGCAGGTCTGGTCGCCCCTAACTGCCCTCCCCTGCTGGTCCAATTGCCCCTAACTTCCCTCCCCTGCTGGTCTGGTCATCTCTAACTGCCTCCCCTGCTGGTCTAGTGGCCCTTATCTGCCCCCCCCTGCCTATAACCCCTTACTGTCCTCCCTTGCCAGCCTGCTTGCCCCTAATTGCCCTCCCCTGCTGGTCTGATCACCCCCAACTTCCCTCCCCTGCTGGCCATATTGTGGTGGTCATCTTGTGTCCACATGGGGGCAGCTATCTTGTGTGTTGGAGTGATAGTCAATTTGCATATTATCTCTTTATTACATAGGATTATTATATAGGATTGTGGTGGGTTTTCTCTCTGAGAACGGAAGCTCCTTCAGGAGATAAAATATGAATCTTAGTTTTAAGCACATATACCCTCCCTCCTGCCAATATGGAGTGACTCTGGGATTTCATGCTTCTGATAGGAATCGAATGTTTTAATTTATAATTTTATAGTCCTATTAGAGAATAGGAAGTTTAAGTTTTGAAATCTTTATTTTCAGTTAGTATGTGATGATTAATATTTCCTACTGTAAATAGCCACATTTAAAAGGTGACTCAATTTGAAATGGTTACTTTTTGTTATTGAACAGTATTTAAATAAAAAGGAAATTATAGATTAAAATGTTATATCAATCCATAAATAAAGTAAAAAAATCTTTGTTGAATGTTACAAAATATTATTTTTTAATTATGATAAAAAACAGATAATAACATCTACCTTATTTATAAAAATTTAAGTGTATAAAACAGTATCATTTACTATAATCACAATGTTGTAGGAACTTTTTTATCTTGCATGACTGAAACTCTAAACCCAATGAACAATAGTTCCCCATTTTCTCCTGCCACCAACTTTTTGCAACCAACATTTTACTTTCTGTTTTGTGAATTTGACTATTTTAGGTTAGTCACGTAAGTGACTCCGTTTCATATACGGCCATGCACCACATAACAGTTTCAGTGAATGATGGACCACATGTACTATGATGGTCCCATAAGATTAAAATGGAGCTTAAAAACTCCCATGGCCTAGTGATGTTGCAGCCATTATAATATCACAGGACAATGCATTGCAATTTCCTACAGTGTTTAGTACAGTAGCATGATGTACAGGCTTGTAGCAATAGACTATGAAATACAGTCTTGTTGTGTGGTAGGTTGAACCATGTAGGTTTGTGTAAGTGCACTCTATGATGTTTTCACAGTGACAAAATGCACAAAGACAAATTTAGTAATGACACATTTCTTAGAACAAATTCATATCACTAAGTTATGCATTGCTGTAAGTGGAATAATGTATTATTTGCCTTCCTGTGACTGGCTTATTTCAATTAGTATAATATGCTTAATATTCATCCTTGTTGTTGCATGTAAAAGGACTTCCTTCTATTTTTTTTGGATGAATAATTTTCCACTGTTTACTTATATCACGTATTCTTTATGCATTCTCTGTCAGTATATATTTAGGTTGTTTTCATGTTTTGGCTATTGTGAATAATACTGCAATAAACATGGGAGTGATATTTTTTGGATAAATATTCAGAAGTGGGATTACTAAATAATATGGTAGTACTATTTTTAATTTTTTGAGGGACTGTTTTTCATAGTGGTTCACTATTTTACATTCCCACCCATAATGCATTTTAGATATTAATTCCTAGTCACATATATAGATTGCAAATATATTTTTCCTCTCTGTAGCTTATCTTTTCACTCTGTTGATTGTTTCCTTTTCTGTGCAGAAGCTTTTCAGTTTGATACAGTTCCATTTGTTTATTTATTTATTTTTTTGTCACCTATACTTTTGGTGTCATATATATGAAATCATTGCCAAAACCAATATTATAAAATTTTTTCTTATAATTTTTTTCTAGGAGTTTTATATAGTTTCAGGAAATATATTTAAATCTTTAATTCACTTTGAGGTGATTTTTTTATGTCTTTTTTCACCCGTACCATACTATTTTAATTACCATACCTTTGCACTGTAGTTTAAAATGAGGAATGTGATATTTCCAGCTTTTTTCATTTTCTCAAAATTCCTTTGGTTATACAAGGTCTTTTGTAATTTCATACAAATTTTAAGATTTTTATTCCTTGAAAAATTCCATTAGAATTTTTATAAAGATTGCATTTAATCCATAGATGGTTTTGTACATTATGTCCATTTAATAATAGTAAGCTTTTGATTTATGAACATGAGACATATTTTTATTTGTTTGTGTCTTTTTCATTAAAGTCTTTGTTGTTTTCATTGTACAGATCTTTTACTTCATCAGTGAGAGTTATTCTTAAGCATTTTATTGTTTTTGATGCTATCATGAATGGTATATTTTTTAAAATATATTTTTATTGATTTCAGAGAAGAAAGGAGAGAGACAGAAAGATTAAAAGATCAGTGATGAGAATCATTGATCAGCTGCCTCCTCCATACCCGCTACTGGGGATCAAGCCTGCAACCCTGGTATGTGCCCTGACCAGGAATGGAACCATGACATCCTAGTTTGTAAGTCAATGCTTAATCACACCAACCAGGAGGGGGTGATAATTTTATTTTTATTTTTATTTTTCTTCAGATTTTTATTTTTAGTGTATGAAAATGCTTCTGGGTTATGTATTTTGATTTTGTATTCTACAACTTTATTGAATTTGTTTAGTTCCAACAATATTTTTTGGTTGGGTCTTTAGGATTTTCTATACATAGGGTGTCTATAAATAATGACAATTATACTTCCTCATTTCCAGTATAGATTCCTTTTATTTCTTTATGTTCCTAGTTGCTCTAGCTAGGACTTCTAGTACTATGTTGAATAAAAGTAGTGAGATTGGGCACCCTTGTTTTGTTACTGGTCTTAGAGAAAAAGCTTTCAGTCTTCTACCATTGTATATGATCTTTGCTGTGAGTTTGTCATATATGGCCTTTATTATGTTGAGGTATGCACCTTCTATATTCATTTTGTTTTTTATTGTTATATTTGATAGTTTATCTTTTAACTTATACACCAAAATTAAGACTGATTTACACACCACCACTGTAATATTATAGTATTCTCTATTTGGTGATATATTTACCCTTGCCAGCAATCTTCATACTTTTGTATTGCTATTCAGCAGCCTTTTATTTCAATTTGAAAGACTCTTTACCATTTCTTTTAAAGCAGATCTAGTGGTGTTCAATTGCTTCAGCTTTAATTGTCTGAGAATGTCTTTATCTTTTCTTCATTTCAGAAGAAAAGCTTTGCCAGGTGTAGTATTCTTTTTAAAAAAATTTTAAAAATATATATATAGCTTATTGATTTTTTTACAGAGAAGAAAGGAGAGGAATAGAGAGTTAGAAATATTGATGAGAGAGAGACATCGATCAGCTGCCTCCTGCACACTTTCTACTGGGGATGTGCCCACAATCACGGTACATGCCCTTAACTAGAATCGAACCTGGGACCTTTAGGTCCGCAGGCCAACACTCTATCCACTGAGCCAAATCAGTCTCGGCATGGTGTAGTATTCTTGATTGGCAGGTTTTTAAAGCTCTTCATAAGCATTGTATAACTACAACTACAACTATAAAACTATATAACTATAACTATAACCATAACCATAACTAACTATAACTATTACCATCACTATCACTATCATTATCACTATCACTATCACTACAACTACAACTGCAATTACAACTACAACTAACTATAACTATAACTAGCTACAACTACAGCTATAACTAACTATAATGATAACTAAACTTTGCATGGCCCTCTAGGCCTTGCAAAGTTTCTGCTGAGAAATTTACTTATATTTTTATGTAGGTTCTTAAGTAAATATCTATTTTTTTTTTGGCAGTATAACATATGTATTTTATTTTAAAAAACAAAACCCAGACCCAACTCTTTCCCCGAGAGGGCCCTTGACAGGCTCTTGGGAAGGGCCTGGCTCTGGCCAAGCAGAGCAGTCAGGAGGCTCCAACGTGGAAGCCAGGCTAGTGGGCTCTGCCCCATTTCACGCCCACCTCCCTGCCCTCTGCTCCCGGTACAAAGACTCAGCCCGATTCCTGGGCCCACGGCACTGCCAGGTTCAGGGAGAGGCGAGGGCAGGGGCCCGCGGACATGCAGGGCCTCCTGGCAGCCGGGAGGGCCAGTCCACTGGCCCCACCCTGCAAGGCAGGCAGCAGTGCGCTTGGGACGGTTAGTGAGATGACATGCACTAAGAACTCAGTGTTCCGCTTCCCTGCTCGGCCAGGAATTCGTTCAAAAATGAACAGGATGACCAGACACTCGGACCCCCAGGGCGGCCTGAGCCTCTGCAGGGCCGGACAGGAAGAGGGGACGCTCCCCTCCCCATCCTTCTGCTCCCTCAGGGTCGACATTATTCCCTTCGCCACCCTAAAGTGACGGCGTGGGCCGAGCCGTGGCCCTGGAAGGAGGCTGTGCAACTACAGAGCCCATAGGGCTCAGACCTCTGCCCCTGGCATGTCCAGTGCCCGCTGCTGGGCAGGTGCCCGGGGTGTGCGCACTCACTCTGACCACAGGGAGGATCGGACACTGTCTCAGGCCTCGCCCCCCGGTTCTGCCGCACGGGGTGGAGTGCGCTGTGGAACGGGTGGAGGCCCGGCCCCGAGCAGTGCGCTGCCACCGTGGTGACCGTGCGTGTGCCCCGTGCGCCTCCCTGCACTGCCCCCAGGACACGCCAGCTCCACCTCAGCACCAGGGCTCCCGGGAGGCAAGGCCGCGGCACAGGCTGTCGCTGTGCTGCCACGCGCTGTGGATGAGGCTCAGGGCGTCCTCGAACTTCTTGGTGGAGGCTTCCTGGATGGCCTTGTGTGGGTGGTCCACCTGGTAGATGGTCCTCCACCCGGAGCTCAGTGCAGACAGGAATCGGTCCAGTTCAGACGTGCAGCTCAGGTAGATGACCCAGGGCGGGAGGGGCTGCTGGCCGTCCCGGGAGAACTCCAAGACACAGTACTCCCGGCCCGGTTCCGTGGAGAGGGCGCTGATGTCGGCCAGCGCGGCTGTGCCCAGAGAGCGGAAGAAGCTGGTCTGGCAATCCTCGTGGCACATGAAAAGGCGGTCGTCGGTGATCACCAGACAGCAGGGGATGCAGGGGCTGGGAGGTACGCCCTGGGGGATGACCCCTTTGGACAGGGCCTGGCAGAGGTGTTGCATCCAGTCGGCCATCTCAGCCTCGCTCTCGGCGCTCAGCTCCAGGCACGGCTGGTCGGCAAGGATGACCTGGAAGGCGTGGGGCCGATCCGTGGTGTTGGACCTCCGACAGCCACCGCACTGCTCCCCCTCATCCCCCACATGTTCACCGAGAGCAGGGGGATGGCATCGGTGCGGTCGGGGTACTGGTAGAGGATGTACCACAAAGCACGTCTTCAAGAGCTCCTTGCCCAGGTAGGAGGTGCCCGCCTTGTAGTGCAGCATGCCTGCTTTGGTGATGGTGCCCTCGGGGGGTGAGCAGTGGCAGGGGACGGGGCCCAGGGACTCGTCAGTGGGTCCTCCCAGTGCAGGAGCCCATAGAAGCGCACGGTCACAGCGGCTGCCTCACACTTAGATTCCTGGGCCACGAACTTGGCCAGTGCCAGCTTCTCCATGGTGGCGTCGGCCAGGATGCTGGGGTACTGGGGTTCCCGACAGCCTTTGATCATGGCCGACTTCAAAGAAGCCAAGAAGAACTCATCCAGAGCCGCGTCGGCCGTGTCCAGCAGAAACTGCTTCCTGCGGTTGGTGCACACCAGCCTCACCGCCTGCTGGTCCAGGTCCACCGACACGTAGTCAAGCTCATTGTACGAAATGGCCTCTTCCACCAGGTATGGCTTCTCCGTGGCCCCTTTCCGGAGCAGGTAGACATAACAGTCTGTGAGCAGCACGTACAGCAGCTGCAGGGTGCCCTCCATGTGCCCTGTGCTCATCCGGATCATTTTGCAGAGCTGCGCTTCGTTTTCTCGAAACACGTGGATCATCAGCAGGAGTAAGTGGTTGTTGTCGACTCTGAACTCCTCCGCGTGGGACATCTCAGAAGGGCTCCCCTGCCCTCCTCCACCTCCGAGTCCTCCGTGCTGCTCAGGCACGGGCTGGGCTGGTCCCGCTTGAGCTGGCAAAGAGCCTGCTGGATCTCAGACTGGCTCAGGCCCGGGCCCCTCCCCGACGGGGGCACCTGGGTCTCTGGTGCCCGGGCCTCTGGGTCCTGAGCCTCTCCCAGGGCGGCCCCTAGGGGCGGAGGCGCCTGTCCCTCTCCTCCTCCTCCTCCCTCTTCTTCTTGGCCGCAGGGCCACCAGGAACATGCAGCGGTTGGCCAGGCCCTGCAGGGTCATGGTCACCGCCACCTGCTGTAACAGTGCTTGGACTCTCAACGGTAAAGCGGTAGAAGTCCATTGCGGCCGGAAGCCCATCACTAAAGTCACAAAACGGCGGTCTCTCTGGGGCGTCCCCCGGAGAGCCAGTCCGAAAGGGCTGGTCGGGGGGCTCGGCGCGGGAGCACCAGGTGCGAGGGTCCAGCTGCCCGTGGAGCTGGTCCATGACTTTGCTCAGGGGCTGCCCCAGGCGCTCCATGGAGGTGTCCTTCATCGCGGGGATGAGCAGGCCCATCTGGCCGGGCTCCGCGCACTCGCTGCTCTCAGCGGTGCTGCTGGGCCCCTCTCCCTTCTCCTGGGGGCAAGCCACGGTGGCGTCTGGGGAGCCCCGCCCGAGGCCTGGGCTGCTGACCCGGCTGTCGCCATTCCCCTCCTGGCACCAGCGTGCTGGGCAGAGGCCGGGCGCAGTGGACTGACTTCCTCATCTGCTCTGGTCTTCTTCTTCTTGCCAGTTTTCTTCTTCTTGGTGACCCTGATGACTTCTAGCTCCGTGCCCGCGTCCAGCAGCTCTGGGGGGTGCGGCTCCGTGCCCTGGGAGGAGGTGTGCACCGCGGTGGTGTCGGAGGAGGACACGGCCTCTGCCTGCTCCTCATTGAAGGGGTTGTGGCATTGGGTGGGGCTCTTGGTGGACGCTTTGCTGCTGGTCAGGTCGGAGGCAGTGGAGCGGGGGTCACTGACAGTGTCTGTGAGGTCCCCGTCCTCGCTGGACGGAGAGATGGCGCTGTCGTCCCACTCCAGGTTGGTGGAGGTGACGGAGTTGAAGGAGTTGAGGGACAGGCTGTCAGAGCCGTGGGCCGAGCTGGGAAGGCGGTCCTCGAAGTCCAGCAGGTGCTGAGGCTTGTAGTAGTGGGGCATGTAGGGGGCCAGGTCCAGGTCCAGGTCGAAGCGAATGAACGCCAGCCCAGACACCAAGGTCAGGAAGAGAGTCAGGTGATCGTGGCTGCAGACCAGGGCATTCTTGACGTAGTACTTGTGCAGCAGGCCCAGGTTCTCCTGGAACAGCCGCAGGTAGCTCTCCAGGGAGTTCTCGTTGAGGGCCAGGTACAGCCAGGCCCGGCTGCGCCCCAGGTTGGTGGCCACGTGCTGCAGCACCTCGAACTGCTTGCCGGCCTCCCTCCGGGTGAAGTGCACCAGCAGCACCCAGTAGCCGCAGGAGAGGTCCTACAGCCTGTACAGCAGGGCGTGGTCCAGGTGCTCGCACAGGCGCTGCAGCACCTTGTCGTGGTTCCCGATGGCAGGTGTCTCATCCTCACACGCAGCGAAGTAGCTCTGCAACTTCTTCACCGACAGCGAGATGTTCTCCAGGATCCAGTCCTTCACCTCCCGCGGCTCCATGTCGCCGCCGCCGCCCCGCCACCACCTCCCCCGCCGCGAGCCCGGGACCGGCCCCCTGCCCGGCCTTGCCTGCCTCCCCTGGCTCCGCGGGCGGCAGTGGCAGAACTGAAGTCTCTATTTTTTCTTGTTGCTCGCAAAATTATCTTAGTTTTTAACTTGTGACAGTTTAATTAAAATATATCTCTGATTAGACATCTTTGGATTTATTCTAGTTGAAATTTATCATTTCTCCAAGTGAGGTGAAATAGAAACCAGTTCTTCAGGCAGGTCTCCAAAAAAGCCAGAACTTAGGAGGCATGCTCCACTCAGCTTCTCCCTGAGGGAATAGTCACAGATCAGGGTATTCTCTCCTGACACTGAGTTGTGCCACTTTAGTAGAGGGGTTGATACAGTTGAAGAGAAGTTGCTCTTCTTGTTTTGGTGCTACTGTTCTACCTATGGCACTGCAGGTTCTTAACTGGCTTCAGGAATTCTCAAAACATTATTTTGGTCCATATACCATTGTTAAGTCAGTGTTTCTGTGGATAAACAAGGGCTTGGTCATCTTGTGACATCAATCCCATTACAAATTATTTTGAAACTAAAGGCCCGGTGCATAACATTCATGCGGGGGGTAGGGGGGCTGAGATCAGGCCTAAACCCCTCGACGGAGGTCTGACTGCCTTCCCTGCAGGCCTGGTTACCCATAACTGTCCTCCTCTGCAGGCCTGGTCCCTTCGAACTGCCCTCCCCTGCAGGCCTGTCTCCCCCCCCCCCCACAACTGCCCTTCCCTGGAGGCCTGGTCACCCCCAACTTCCCTCCTCTGCAGGCCTAGATCCCCCAAACTGCCCTTCCCTGCTGGCCTGATTGCCCACCACTGCTCTCCCTTGCTGGCCATCTTGTGGCAGCCATCTTGTGTCCACATGGGGGCAGGATCTTTGACCACATGGGGCAGCCATCTTGTGTGTTGGAGTGATGGTCAGTTTACATATTACTCTTTTATTAGATAGGATGTTTCAATATGTTAATAATTAATTTTATTCAGATTCTGTATCATCCAGAAACTATTCATCAGTAAGACCCTGACTTGAAAACATGTGGATAGCCATTGCCATCAATAGTCAGGATCCTGTTCTCCTGGGGGAAAATTATTGATTACTAGTGTCTAGCTGTTCCTATTACTAGGAATGTATTTTTACTTTATTTTTTTGATACTGGAAATGTTTTTTTTTTTTTATATTGAAATGCAGTTCATAAATAGAATATTCTGAAGTAAAAAGTAGACTGAACTCTAGCTTCTTCATTTATAAGCTTTAGTTCCAGCAATTTGGAGTGGCTAGCAATTTGTACTTTTTAATTGAATTTATCGGGTGACACTGGTTAATAAAACTATACAGGTGTCAGGTATATAGTTCTACAATACATCATCTGTGTATTGTATTCTGTATTTCCTACCCCAACTCAAGTGTCTTTTCATCATCATTAACCTCCCCCATCCTCTGCTTTATCTTCTTTTATTCTCCCCCCTTTCTCCCTTTCCTCGCTAGTAATTTGTTCTGAAGTATCCATTCCCCGGAAGATGGTTGGGGATTGAGGTAATGGGGAAAAAATATGGTCTGGAGAGGGAATTTTTACTTAGGAATGGTGTGGACAGGATTTCAGGGACATATTTTTAACCCTTTAATTAGCAACATGTGATTTGGTCGTCATTTTTGGTGGGAGAGGAAAAGTGCTTTTTTACCCAGATAGTCAGTATGGGGCAGGAATTTTTATTGTATTTGTATTTTCTTCTTCCCCCCAGTATTCTCCATATTTATTTTTTCATGTTTATCAGTTTACTTATTACCATCTCTTCCTCTTTAATGCTTTTTTTGCATTTTATATTATATCCTATAGATTGCTATACCTATACTGCCCACATATTGTAGTTTATCTTCCTTCCCCAATGAAAATTGGATTTTCTTTTACTCTTTTATCTGACCCTCCCTTCCCCCTTTTTGGAATAATTACTTACTGTTTACAAGGAGTGCTTTGAATGCTAAATTATAATTTAGAAACTGATTTTTAAGCAGAATCCAAAGGTTTTATTTGAGGCTGGCTTGACTGTATCTACCATATGCCAGAGAAATAATCCATTGTTTATTACTGTTTTATTTTGTTCTTATATAGTTTTATTCTGCTTGAGTGTGATCTGGCACTGTTAGCTCATCCACTTCAAAATTAACCAAGCCAGCTGGAGGAGTGTAATTTAGAGAGGTGCACATGGGTTTTTGAATGCTGACATCTTGAATGTGCTCTCTATGTTTTCTTGCACCCTGATTTCATCCAAATAAAGTATGAAAATTACGAACATATCCACACTCACTTCCCCATATATGCACAAAAATATTTGCATTGTTATGGCTCATTAAAATATCAAGAAATTGTAAATAATAGTATATGCAATTTCTGTATATCATAGTAAATATGTGGTTTTTAAATAAAAGCAGTGTCATGTCTAAATAATGCTTGTGAAATTATTTTCATATATGTCCCCATTTTTCTCACTCTCCCCCACAAATACATTATTTATTTATTTATTTTCCTTCCTCCTTCTTCCCTTTCCCCTACAAAAACTTGAAGAGCCAGAAATTTTAATGGCAAGGACTCACTTTATAGTGGACTCAAATCCTATATAATGAAGAGGTAACATACAAATTGACCATCATTCCAACACACAAGAACTCTGCCCCCAAGGGTTGAAAGATGGCCGCCCCCATGTGGACACAAGATGGCCTCCACAAGATGTCTGGCAGGGGAGGAAAGTTGTGGGTGATCAGTTGGGAGGGACCAGGCTTGTATGGGAGGGAAGTTGGGGGGACGAGGTCTGCATAGGAGGGCAGTTAGGGGTGACCAGGCCAGCAGGGGAGGGCAGTTAGGGGCAATTGGTCTGGCAGGGGAAGGCAGTTAGGGATGACTAGGCCAGCAGAGGAGAGCAGTTAGGGGTGACCAGGCTGGAAAGGGAGGACAGTTAGGGGTAACCAGGCCAGCAGGGGAGGACAGCTGGGGTGGCTGGCCTGCAGGGGAGGGCAGTTGGAGATAACCAGGCCTACAAGGGAAGGCAGTTAGGGGTGACTAGGCCTGCAAGGGAGAGCAATTGGGGGTGACCAGGCCAGCAGGGGAGGGCAATTAGGGGTGACCAGACTGGCAAGGGAGGGCATTTACTACTACCAGGCTGGCAAGGGAGTATTTAAAGAGTGATCAGACTGGCAGGCAGAAGTGGTTAGGGGCAATAAGGCAGTCAGGTAGGCAGGCAAGTGGTTAGGAGCCAGCAGTCCTGGATTGTGAGAGGGATGTCCCAGATTGGAGAGGGTGCAGGCTGGGCTGAGGGACTCCTGCCCCCCTCCCCCCGTCCCCCGGCCCATGCACAAATATTGTGCATTGAGTCTCTAGTGATTATATAAACATATAAAGAATAATAAGTTGCCTGGCTGGCATGGCTCAGTGGTTGAGCATCGACCTATGAACCAGGAAGTCACAGTTCGATCTCTAGCAGGGTCCTGCAGGAAGCAGCAGATCAGTGATTCTCCCTCATCATTGATGTTTCTATCTCTTTCTCCCTTTCCCTTCCTCTCTGAAATCAATAAAAATATATTTTTTTAAAAAGAGTAAAAAGATGTACTTTTCAGTAGTGGTTAGTTTTACAAAGAAATGTCATATGATAGAGATCAGTGCCTATTGTTCTATGGAAAGTCAAATAAAACATCTCGGAAGAGGTATCATTTGAGCTGACATGAATATGACAATACCAACCACAGGAGAACCTGGGGCTCAGGAACAAATATCAAATATGATCTATATGATCTATATAGGTATGAGGAACATACAGCAAGCTAGGAACAGTGAATGAGGGAGGAAGTGAAAGAATGTGAATTTAGAGAGGTGGGCAGGGTTCCATTCATGTATAGCAATGAAGGTCATGAGGAATGGGTTAGATTTTAACAAGATATGATTGGAGAGTTTTAAGCCAGGAGCTAATAAGCTTTGATTTATGTTTTAAAAAGATCTCATGGCTGCTGCATAGCAAATGAAGAAAACAAATAATGGAAGCAAGAACTGGGAAACTCAAGCACAAAGATATTAAATGTTTTCTCCTAGGCTACAAAGGGAGTCACAGAATGAGAAGCTTTATCTTCTGACTCAAAGTCCAGTTCTTTTACCATTTTATTAAATTGAAGATATACCTTATGACCTCATCATCTTATATTTATTTTTCTATCATTTTTTACCCCAGACATGATTTTTCTTCCCATCTTCTCAGATTATTGTAACAGTTATTCAATTATCTTTTAATTTATTATTTTCATAGGTTGACCTTGCTAAGTTAAAAAAGCATTTTGCATTGTCTTTATTAAGGTATGCCCTTTTTGAAGGTATGCTTAGTGCATGTGTTATATCTTTAATTAAATGTAAAAATATAGCTTTTGGATAAAACTGAACAGATTAATGCCTTTCCTACTGAGAGAGGACATTGAGAAATAGGCAAGAGTGGAGGAAAACA